GAACAACTTGACTGACCGCCTGAAAGGCGGCTTCTCATTCACTGGTGCCTTGGGCATGAGCGTGAGCAGCAGTGCTGTTGAGTGCTGGGCTGGGGCCTGGTTCCGGTATGTCCAGCCGGGGTCAGGTGGACAGATGCTGGGTGTCTTGCAGGAGAGCTTTCGCCCCATCACCATTTCCCTGGCTGCTGTCCGGATGTGGACAGGCTGTGTCTTAGTGAAGGGGCTACTCTTGTCCAGGCTGAAGCTCTGACACAGACCCTGACCCTCCAGGTATTATCGGGGGACCCACGGGGTCATCGTGGTTTATGATGTCACCAGTGCCGAGTCCTTTGTCAACGTCAAGCGGTGGCTTCATGAAATCAACCAAAACTGTGATGATGTGTGCCGAATATTAGGTGAGGCTGGACCCCCTGTGGGGACGCTGGCCTGGAGGGTGGGAGGGGGGTGCTCCCGCAGGGCTGGGCTGACTTTGCTTTTTGCCTTTAAGTGGGGAACAAGAATGATGACCCCGAGCGAAAGGTGGTGGAAACAGAAGATGCCTACAAATTCGCAGGGCAGATGGGGATTCAGCTGTTTGAGACCAGCGCCAAGGAAAACGTCAATGTGGAAGAGGTGAGGTGAGGGCCCAGAGTGGGGGCAGGGCGGGAGCGGGGCCCACTGCGTGCAACCACCACAGCCCTCCTCTCCCCGCCTCTAGCCTGCCCAGAGTGCCCAGAGGGCTGACAGGAAACCTCTTAGTAACTGCCGTTTCTCGGTGCCTGTTGGGAGCCAGGCATCGTGCTAGGCCCTTAACGGGAGCTAGCTCACATCTCAGCCGTTCTCTAAGTCACCTCCATGTTTTATATGGGAAATTGAGGTTCTGGAGTGAGGACTATCACCCAGCTTGTAAAAAGCCAGGTCAAATGGAGACTCTGTAGCCCAGCTATGCAGGGTTCCCGCTCAGCCTTCAGCCTCACTGCCCACCCTGGCCCCAAGCCTTGGTATCCCTTCCTGCTCTCTGGGCTTTCCTTGGGGCCTTGGCGTCCCTGCAGACAACTGGTTGCTTTCCCGTGGCCTCAAGAGTTCAGGTGGGCACTTGCTGCGAGGCCCCAGAGGCTCTTGGGGAGACCTGTCCCCCGTGGAGCAGCTGAGCCTCTGGCCAGGGGCAGCTTCCCTTCCACTTGGCCTGCTGGAAAATAGCTGGGAGTCTGTGGGAGAAAAGTGGGACTTTGGCCATAAGCCCAGGCTGGCCATGCTCGTAGCTTTGGGTGAGTCCTGTCCCACAGTGTGTGGAATCTGGAGACCCAGGGAAGCCAGGATCCCCCTCTGTGTCCTGGACACCCGACTGCATCATGGCAGGGAGCCCGGGTGCCTCAGAGTCAGGTTGGGATCACAGTACAGGCCTTTCTGTGTGACCTGAGGTGGTGACTTAACCTCTCTAGGTTGCACCTGTTCCTTCCTTAGATCGGGGTAGGGTGAGCGCCCCTGCCTCCTGGGTCGTGAGGGGTAAGTGGAGCAAATTACATCAAGTGCTTGACACCTTTCCTGGCACAGTGGAGGAGAGGACTGTGGGTTGGCAGGTGGAGTCCCATTGGATCCTGGCACCACAAGGACATCTTGGGGTAGGGTCTGGGGCAAGTTCTGCGCAGGACATGTGGTGACATGGCATGAAGTGGGCAGGCTGTGGGTCCCTCTGGCCTGTCACCAGATCAGGGGCACCTTTATCTTGTCTGAAGATTCCAGCTGGAGAGGTTCTTTTTCTCTTTTTAAAAGAAAGACTGGAAAATCCCTGAGATTGATTTCTCCAAGCACAGCTCATGGAGCTTTGATGTTCTTTATTGACTTTTTTTTGGAAAGGGTTTGAGAACATACATGCAAAATCCTCTCACGAGTAGAAATAGCAAATGGGACGCGGGGCCCGGGGAGGCGGCCGTGGTGGCCAGCAGAGACTCTGAGCTGGGTCTGAGGCCACCCCACCTCCTTCGTCCTCACAGATGTTCAACTGCATCACAGAGCTGGTCCTCCGAGCAAAGAAAGACAACTTAGCCAAACAGCAGCAGCAACAACAGAACGACGTGGTGAAGCTCACGAAGAACAGTAAACGAAAGAAACGCTGCTGCTAATGCCCCCCCAGCCCACTGCAGAGACTGCACTGCGGCCACTCCCCGGCCCGAGGCCCGCGGGGCTCCTCGGGGACAGTCTCAGTTTCGTGCCGTTATTTAAAGAATTCTCTCCACGTTTTTGTATCGGGAGGCGCCATCGGCACTTCCTCCCCTCCCCCTTTGAGTGCCAAGAAGGTGTTGGACGACCTGCCCTTCCCTTCTGGTGCCCCTGCCCCCGGCCAAGGCACCTGGGCCCGGCGAGGACGCTGCCAGCCGAGCGGACTGATTAACCAGAGTTTGTACATAATGTATATTGCTTTAACCAGCCGCATCACCCTCGTCCTGCTCTGGCTTTTGCCTCCTTAATGCCAGCCTGCTGCAATAGACCCTCCCCACCCCACCCCACCTTACTGCCAGCAGCTTCCTGAGGAGACAGGATCGAGTTCTGGCCACATCTTTTGTCAACCTGGGCTGGTGGAGTGGGCCTTCCGCGTTCCTTGTTCTCTCCTACAGGCTGTCGGCTTCCTCTCCTGGCACGTAGGGTCTCGCCTCTCTCCGGGGCCTGTGCTGTGTGTCTTCCGAGTCCAGCTCCCTTCCCTCCCCACCCTTCCCTGTCCCCTGCCCCCGTCACCATCCTGGCAGCTGGGGGAAACCCGACCTTGAGGTAGGCCTGGGGCTTCCCATTAGAGGCCTAGCCTTTTGGCTTGCAGAAAGACTTGCTCCTGCCTTCTGGTCACCAGATTTCTTGTCCTGCCTTCTAGATGCCTCTGAACTACAACCCAGGGAAACCTTGGCTTTTAATTTATACCAACCTGTTTCAGTTCCAACAGAAAGGTAGGGGTGTGTTTGTGTAGGGATGGGGCTTGTAGGGGCACTGAGGAACATTATTTTAACATAAATGAAGCCAAATCAAATGAATTAAGTTCCTTACACTTTCTCTTCCTGAGGTTTGGTTGGCACAGCAGCAAAAGTTGTGGCCTCCTCACTTTGGGTCCGTGTTTTTAGAAAAATTGAATGGCTTCCTGCCATTGTGGGGCTGGGCTCTTGGCAGAGCAGCCCTGCCTTCCTGGCCATTTCTTGGTGGGGAAGGAGAGCGGGCCTCCCACCCTCATCTGTGTCAGCAGAGGGCTTTCCCCGGAGTTCCTGGGTCTCCGTTGTGGCACCAGGCCCCTCTGAATGTGAGGAGTGGGTGCTGGTGCTGGACCATGGGGACGCCACCTCGGAGTTGGATGGCAAGCAGCTTTGGATCACCGACAGAACTTTTTTAGTACAAAGGCAGCAGGAGGATTTCTTAGGGGGTGGGAAGGAATGGTGGCCGGGGCCAGGAGCCAGCCAGCTCTATCCCTGGTCCCCTGGGGGAAGAAACCAGGGTCATCTGTACTGGATTACTGTCCCCCCCCGCGGGACACTTCCACCATTCACCTTTCCCCTAAAAGGATCATGTAACCTGGGAATAATTTATTTCAACACCATGATGTTTTAGATTTCCTTTCCTAGGCGATTTCCAGGCAAAGCCCTGATTGGACAATCACATTACAGTTCACACTGCAGATTTTCCCTGTTAACATTGTTGATGGGTTTTTAATCAATAAAAACTGGGGGTTTCTTCTGACCTGTCTCTCCACTTCCCCAGACTGCCAAAAGCCTGTGGTTCTCTGTGAGCCGGCCTTCACTAGAGCCACCTGGAGAGGTGGGGGAGCTCTGAGCCTGGGAAGCAGTGCTGTGGAGGGTGGCCGTGGGGCCAGCCGACAGGCATTTTCTGACTGGTTGGGGGCCAGGAGCAAAAGTGTGGTTTCTCCATCCTCAGGGCTGTGCTGGGTGACCATAGGCCTGTGTAGGACGCAGAGAGCTCGAGACTCCTGGGGTGGGCGGCATACTCAACTCAGCATTCACGTGACATCAGTGTGGCAGTGCTTGCAAATTCAAGCAATAAGGGGAGAAGGGGTCCTGGAAGTTTCCAGCCCAGGCTAGAAGACACTATGGGTCTGGCAACTGGATGTCCAGACCCAGGTGGTGGGGTGATTTTGGTGACGACAGTGTCTGTCCCACTGAGTGTTACACGCATGAAGGGTGGGGGTGGGGGTGGGGGACTCACAGGGCTGGGCTGACGTCCTGGTGGACCTGATGTGAAATTCCTGTCGAACAACAAAACTTTTAAATGGTTTGCTAGGATTATTTCTGTATTGAAAGTTTCTAATTATGCTTTTTAAAAAAATACTAAAAATAAAGGTTCAAGCTGCCAAATTTTCTTCCAGGGTCTGTTTCCTCCAGCTGTGCTCTGGGTGGGCCTGCCTTCCTCCCACCCACTGTGTCCAGCACTTGTTTGTTCTGGTCTGAGTCCAGCACAGGTGCCTGTTGAAGCCCAGGGACACTTGGAGAAGCCAAACGTGTTTTCTCCACAGAAGGCTGGCCCAGGTTGAAGCCCCCGCAACCCCGCCCCTGGTTGGATGCATAGGTTGGGAGCACGCGTGGGAAGATGCCAGGGGGAAGCGCCGTGTTTATTCTCTGCATGCCCGGAAGGATGCAGTGGAAGCTTTGCCTGCAGTGATTTCTTTCTGGCTCAAAGTCTGCCAAGCTGTGGGGCCTGCTCAAGCTTGGGGAGCGGCACTGGCAGGGCTGGCCTGTAGCTGGGCAGCTGTGGCCCTGGCAGGGCGCCCAGGGCCAGGGTGGGTGTGGAGGCAGTCCCCTAAGAGCTGTCCTGGACAGGATGCCTGCACCGTCCAGGGGAGGTGCCCCTTCCTGGCGGAGTCCACTCACTGGTACCAAGATAGGAGTGACCTCCCAACGCATGGAGGCCTTACTACTGCTGCCGCTTCGTAGCCAGCTGGTGGTGGCTCAGATGTGCGCTGCATTCTGCCCATACAAGCCCTCTGGGTACCCAATGATTGAGGCGGGAGGCTCTGTAGAAATTCATTTTATTCTTAGACTATTTTCAAAAGAAGCAGTGGTGTGCTGTTTTTCTAAAAATATGCCTTTATAGATTTATATATAATATGTATATTATAAAATCCATACACGTATTTACATGATTGCTACATACAAAATTACAGCACTGTGGTATGTACATATCTATAGGTACATTCTTTCCGCTCATCCCTGCTGTGCTTTTTCCCTTGGGAGGGAGGGAGATGATCCTTTGTAAAGCAGCTTTCGGGCTGGCTCAGCCCGGGGGTGCCTCTGAGTTGGGGCCTCAGCAGAGAGGGTGGAATGGCTGCTGAGGAAGGAGCAGAAGCAGCAGGTTGCAGGATTCATCCTTCTGCAGGCCTGGTGGGCAGTATCTGGTGGCATCCGCCCTCTGGTGCCAATGCTGCCCTTGAGGTGGAGGTGGCCAACTGCAGACCCCTCTGGGGCTGTTCTGTAGCCTGGACTTGCTTGGCTGAGCCAAGAACTTGTATGTGGAGGGGAGCAGGGGGCGGTGGGAAGAGGAGGAGACCCCCCTCCCAGCTCTGGCCCCATGAAGGGGAAAGGACTAGATGGCTAAAGCCTGCAGAGGGCCCAAGAAAACACCGGCTGGCCTGAAGGCCAGAAAGGGAGAACAGGGGCGGCCAGGGCAGGGCCCTTCTTCCTCCTGAGCTTGGGACGGCGACAGCCAAGCCCCGGTAGAGCCCGTCGTGGTTAAATGCAAGAGAACAGCCCCAGCCGTCAGGCCCCTGCAGGCTGGGCCTCCTGCCGCACAGGCGCTCCGGGCAGAGGTGCATGCACAAGGGTGAGGAGCTGCCTCGCCTTACTCCCTGGGCCAGAGCCTGGGGGAGAGTTAGAGGCTCAGCCTCCGGCTGGTGCCCCAGAGGACCAGGCCCCCGCAGCTCAGGCTAGCTGGGGGCCGCGACAGCCTCCTGAGGCATGCAGAGAACGGCCTCCATTCCTTCTGTTCCCCGTATTCCAAAACAGGAGGGCAGCAGTGCCTGGGGCTGGACGCGGGAGCCGCTGAAGGGTGGGTGGGGTGGGCTGCGATGCTCCGCGTCTGAGCTGCAGAGCCCAACCGAGGGGCCGCGCTGGAGGCAGCCTGAGCCCCACTCAATAGCGATCCGTCGGGGAGCCCGGGCTGGGCATGGCCTGGCAGTGGGGACAGGGCTCCTGCCCATCCCTCTGTCAAGGGCAACCTTCAGAGGCTGAGTGGGCCCTTCCGGACGACTCGGCTCTGGTGTGGGTGGGCAGTGCGGCCGCTGAGCCGGCCCAGGGGAGCCCTCGTGTGCCAGCATGGCACGACGAGCCCTTGCACGCACCCTGCTTCAGTCACCTCTAGTCCACCCATCCTTGCTGGCCTGACTCCTCCCGACCTAAATTTTCCTGAAGAATGAGAAGAGCCTCTTGCCTTCGGTGGTGCTGGGCTCGTCCCCGCGTCCCATGCCCTGGGCCCCGGAGAGGGCAGCAGGCCGGCTCTGTTCCTTCAGGTGGGTGTCCATCAGCTGCCGGTCAATGACCCTGTGCATGTCATCCTGCGGGGGGCAGAGCAGAGGGGCTGAGCAGGGCTCTGACCTGGTGCCAAGGGCAGCAAATGTCAGGGGGATGCCAGATGAGGATGGGATGGGATGAGATGACTGAATGGCTGCAGCCAGGTCAGCCCGAGCGAGAAAGCAGCGAGTGTAGACACGATGCCCAGACACAAGGGAGCCACACAGGAGCTACCGACACCTCCGTATCCTCAGGGAATGGGGCTTCTCCTTGCTAGCATGAGCTCCTTGGCTGACCCTGCCAGTGGTCTATCCCTAAAAGCCTAGAGAGGGGCAGGCTCGGGGCCGAAGCTGATAATTCCCAGTCTCTACTCGGGCCTTGCTTGTGATGGGCCTCCTCCGTCTGGCCTCCTCCGTCCTGCCTCCTCCGTCCCTTGGGGCCGGGTGTGCCTTTCCCTCGGCGTCCCTCCCCAGGCCCCAGGGCCACCTCTGCTTGCCATCTCTCTAGTCCAAAGGGTCAGCCTCAGGGGGCCTTACCAGCCTCCTTGCCCCCTTGAAGTTCTACCAGGCTGCACCGCTGATGCCCAGGTACCACCGGCAGCCCCACGTGGCCAGGACACGGTTCCCTTGGTGCGGCCCTTGCCCACAACCAACCACACGCTGCAGGCCTCCCTGGGCATGGCTCCCACCTGTGGCACAGGCCACGGGCATCACTAGCTAAGGGCCTGCCTTCCTCCTGCTTAGGCCCATATCCTTGCCTTCCTCACTGGGGTAGCACTTTTCCCCAATTTGTTAAAGTTGCCTAGAAAATGCCTCCCTCACCCCGACTGCCTTACAGCACAGCAGCTTTTACCCCACAGAGGGGCTTCTAGACAGAGCAGCTCCACTCACTCTCCCTTCCAGTTGTTAGATTCCAATTCTGCACAAGACTCCACTCGGCAAAGGCCTTCTGCCGCTAACAAAGGATGAAAGCTACTGCTGTAGAAATAGAAACGGCCCTGTCTAGTTAACATCAGCAGGAACGGAACACGCATCTGCCTGATTCCTTTACCCCTAAACTCAGTGGGCTCTGGATGCCCTGGTGAAGACACCAAACCTTGGCTGAACCCTGGGGTGTGTCAGCTGATCGTGTCCTGCTTGAGTGCTGGACAGTGGCTGAGCTCTGGGCAGCCGCATGCTTGACAAGGCAGGAAGTGGGGCTGGCGCCCGCCCCCCATCCATCACCTCTTGCACTCACACCCACGCTCCTGCCACTCTGTAGGTTTCAGTGTGAAACAAAGGGACTTTCCTTACCCTGCACCAGGTAGCAAGAAGCCAGTATGGGCCTCTTGCTCCTCCCCTCGTTCATGTCCTGCTCTCCTGGCTTCCTCTCCTCTTTCCTCACACTGCGCTTCTTTCCAGTGCCTTCCTCCTACTCACAGAAATGAGAGACATGCTCTCTACCTCTGGTGTCCCAGTGCTAAATTCTGGGCACAGCACCCCGCACTTAGGACATGCTCAATAAAATCAGTTACATGGAACACTGGGAATGTTATAGGGTCCTTCAGAAAGAAACCCTTTCAGAGCACCCATGCTTGTTCTGGCACATTGCAAACTGTACCTTTTATACTTTAAAATTCATTAAGGCAATCCCACAAACTAGATCACCTTAGAACTTCAGACACACACACACATGAACCGCTTATAATTCTACACCAGCCAGTACTTCTGTGGGCAAAACAGCCCATTCATGAGGAGACAGCACCAAGAGACCAGGGCTTAGCCAGTCAGAAACGGGTCGGCCTATCAAGCCCTGGCCTCTGTGCTGCACGCCCACTGGACGTGGCGGTGACGGGAGGGGGGCTGCGGGTGATGGCATGGCACACTGCACAGAGATGACGCCGGACACCGGCACACACAACGTGGTGGGCCACAGGAAGGCGGGGGTGATGGCAGCAGGGGACAGGGTAGGTGGAATAGGGGCTCGATCTCACCTCAAAGGCAGGAGGGGTGTACAACTAAAGCTGTTGATACGGGAACTGAGAAAGGCCACTAGATCAGAAACCAAAGGAGCCAGATAGTAAAAAGCCCTGAGGAAGCAAACTGTAGCCGGGAGAGAAGAGAGAAGAACGGGCGGTAAGCCAGGGATTGACCAGCTGGTGGTAGGGCAGGAGCTGAGGAGCCAGGAACCATTTCCCTGAGGCTGAGGGGACGACACACACAAGTGCTCCTGCAGCCAGGCCGGCAGGGCCCTTGGAGGAATGGTCACCGCTAACCTGCCCGCCAGTGGAGGGCTTTTCATCTGTCTGCTTAGGATTGCGTGGGGAGAGACATGAATGGCTACACCCATATCCTGAAATTGTACAATGTTAACTTCACTAACACAAAGTACAGCCCTGGCCCAGTGGGGAGCTGTGCTGGGGATGGGGCGGCCTAGGCAGAGGGATTTTGAAAATGGTGGTCCTAGAGAGGACACATTGACTCATTTTCCCCCAGGGTAGTGCTCTTTGGAAAAAAGAAGCTGGCCTTCGAGAACGGGGAAGGGCAGTAGCTGCTGGCAACCCAGGGGCTGTGGAACTACAGACACCCCCAGCTGCGAATTTTTGTCCTGCCATATATGGCTTCCTGGGCCCTTTGTGTTAACAGATGTTTCTTTCCAGCTAATTGAAACAAAGCTGAGACAACCAGCTGAAGGCAGCGCCTTCTCCAAACCTGGAGGGCACTGCAGCTCTAAGCGGCAGAGCCCGGGGCTCACCGCTCTGGACAGCACCCTCAGGCATTCTTCCCTGGAGGCTGAGGGAACACAACCTCTGAATTTCACCAGGTGAAGGTGGGTTACTACTCACCCACTGGCATGGGACCGTCTCGTAATAAATTCTCTTTACACTCTGCCTGGGTTCAGAGACTGCTGCCACAGTCTTGTCTTCCCTCACCCTGGGTCTCAGAGCTCTCCTTACCTGCCAAGCCTCAAGCTGCTGCGAGAGGTTCAGTTTCTGCTGAATGGCATCCAGCAACTGGCTGTTCAGAGACATCATATCCATCTTGCACTTGGCGAGTTCCAGCTCCACAGCATTCTTCCTGAAAACAGACCGGTCAGGGTGAGCATGGATGCCTCGTGCCAGAGGCATGTGATTCTCTACCTGGGGCACCTGGAATCCACAGGATGAGGAAACAGGCTCTGACCAAACTCAAAACAAATAGGAACTGTGACAGTAACTAGGATGTTACTTGCAGAGAGCTGGAAAGTCCACGGCATGGGCTCACATCCATTTCCTTAACCGGTGTTAACAACGTGTAGGTGAAGGGACTATCTGTTCTCCCCATGTCCCAGACGAAGAGGGGGCTCAGAAACAAGGATAGAGGAGGACTGGAACCCAGAGGACCTCAAAGGCCTCACAAGGCACTAAAGAGCTGCTAATCCTTTCCCAAAAGGCCAGTTCCCACGGGAGGTAGGGACCATGTCCTCCTGGTCCCCTTCTTTTCACTAGCAACCCCCTCTAAAGGGATCGGGGATCTGTCCTAATGGTACACAGGTGTGCAAAGTAGCCACACAGAGGTGATGATCAAAGCTTAGCTAATCATAGTCACCCACAATTTAGGACACCGGTGGCAAATTATGTGATGGGGCACAGTCTCCAGTAACAACCATGACACTGAATAGTCACTCACAATGGGGAGATACGATGTATTGCTGAGTGGAGAAACGCATCACAAGACAAGGTCTGGTAGGACACCAGCTCTGTGAAAGACAAACTGCGGGAGGGTATTTAAAGGTCATACACAACAAGCTCTGCTTGGCTATCTCTGGATGATGATCGTTGATGGGATTCCCCCATACTTTTTTTTTTTTTTTATGATAGTTACACACACACACAGAGAGAGAGAGAGAGAGAGAGAGAGAGGCAGAGACACAGGCAGAGGGAGAAGCAGGCTCCATGCACCGGGAGCCCAACGTGGGATTCCATCCCGGGTCTCCAGGATCGCGCCCTGGGCCAAAGGCAGGGGCTAAACCGCTGTGCCACCCAGGGATCCCAACTTTTGCATTTTGTATTTTCACATTTTGATGTTTCACATACTACTGGGTTTGCCTTTTCCAACATTGCTAAATCACAGTCCTTCAATGCAAAAGAAAATTAATTTGTTTTCAGGAGTGGGGGAATGGGAATAAAAAATGTGAGAGACTGAGCAGCTTCTGTCAAGGCGGCACTGGTTGCCCAAACGCCAAAATGGGCATTACTTAGGCCCCCTCAGCGACCACCTTTTGCGTCTGCAAGGGCAGAGCACGCACGCCTCAAGCCCCGGCGGCGGCCAGCGGGCGCATCCACGGGGGGCGGGGCCCCGCCTACAGAGGCCGCGGCTGCAGCGAGCTAAGCGCGGCCGGGAGGCGGGGCAGCTGGTTAAAGCAGTCGGGCCGCGGCCGGGCCGGCGCTTCCTCTCCGGCCTCACGTCCGGGGGTCAAGGAGTCGCCTCCCTGACACCTCAGGGCCTCCGAACGGCGCCCCGACGGCTCGCAGCACCGGCTCAGCCCGCCGCACTGCGGCTGGGGCACAGGAGCAGAGGCCACCCAATGGGCGCCGGCGTCTCACACGCCCCAGGCTGCCTGTCACGCCCGCTGCCATTGGCTGGCACCGCGGAACTCCTCGCGCAGCGCCGGTTGCCATGGACGCCCGGCCGCCACCCCCGCGGTCCTGCGAGCGCAGCCCGCCCCCCACGCTGGAGACGACGGCGGCCGCGGCCTCGGGAGCAGCTGGGCGTCTCCCGGCAGGTGGCGCCACAGAAGCCCGGAGAGCCGGGGATGTGGTGACGGAGACCTCCGGGCGCAGGGGCGTGGCTGGGCTCGCAGGGGGGCCCCTTCCTTCCGGAAACCCCCCGAAGCGGGGCTGTCTTGGCGACCTCCGTTTCCCAGCCTCCGACTGTACCCCAGAGAAAGGCTGCTCACCGGGGAATCTCGGTGCTTAATTAATGGGAAACCCTGGACCAGGAGAGCTAAGCCGCAGAGGTCGCTGATCTATTAATCGTAATTTTAAAAAGTAATGTCTCAAAAAAAAAAATGTCTCAAAGGGCTAGAATTCCTTATAGATATATATATATTTTTTTTGAAGAATTCCTTATTTAAATGAAACCGCTAGTAACTGCCTTTTTGTTTTTGTGAGGCAGACTGCTAGCCCCAGATATTTTTGGTGAGGGCCCTGTACCTGCAAGGATATAACATTTTTACTTAAGTTCTCTGGAACTCACTACTGTGTCAGATAAAAACACCTTAAGGTTTTTGCAGCCCAGGGACAGAGGGAAGTTATTTTTGAGGGTTCTCACTACTGACTGCACACTAGAATCAGGGAGTGGGGTAGGGGGGACACTTTTTATTTATGCATGAGACACACACACACACACACAGAGGCAGAGACACAGGTAGAGGGAGAAGCAGGTTCCATGCAGGGAGCCAGCCCAACATGGGACTTGATCCCAGGTCTCCAGGATTATACCCTAGGCTGAAGGCAGCACTAAACCGCTGAGCCACCTGGGCTGCCCAGGGGGACACTTTTTAAAAGTAGCCCCAAACTAGGAGATTCAGATTGAATTGTTCTGGAGAGGGCCCTGGCATCTAGGGCATGCCCCAGATGATTCTAATTTTTTATTTTTATTTTTATTTTTATTTTTTTAATTTTTATTTACTTATTTACGATAGTCACAGAGAGAGAGAGAGAGAGAGAGAGAGAGAGAGAGAGAGAGAGAGAGAGAGAGGCAGAGACACAGGCAGAGGGAGAAGCAGGCTCCATGCACCGGGAGCCCAACGTGGGATTCGATCCAGAGTCTCCAGGATCGCGCCCTGGGCCAAAGGCAGGCGCTAAACCACTGCGCCACCCAGGGATCCCTCCCCAGATGATTCTAAAGTGCAGTCAGGATGGAGAATCAGAGATGATGGCTATGAAAGCATCTTGTAAAACTCATAAGGTCCTACACAAAGGTCCCACATTTAAGTGATTCTTTAGGACTGCGGTCTCAATTCTTTATACCACCAGTTTAATTTCTAAGGGACAGAGTAAGAGCTCTCCTCCTGGAGTGATCTAACGCCCTCCCTCAGGGCCAGCCTTATGTAGGGTGAACGAAGGACAGGGCCTCACTGCAGAATCCTCCCTGGGTACTCGGGCAGGTGAATCTGCTCATCAGCTGGGTCAGACGCCAGGAGGTTCACTGGGCCTCCTCTGGCAGAAGCTGACAGCATGCATTTCAAGGTTTCATGGAGACTTGCTGGCTTACATGTCAGAGCTAGGTTCCACTCATTTTAAGGGAAAGGACTAGACAACTTGTTTCTTCTCTCCTGCATGCTGGTACTTCTCTGGTTGTATCTCCCACCTCCCATGCTGATGGCAGATTATGGTCAGAGCTTGATGTTCAGCTCTTTTATGCTTGTCCAGCCAAGAGAAGGGGACTAGCCATTCTCTACTTCTAGCTTCATTCTTTTTATTCCCAACAGGCTTCCACAATTAGCACCTTAATTTTATTATCTTATTCCCTAATTGTATGACACAATTTCACCCTTTGTTATTCATGAAAGTATGCTCCCACTCCAAAATATTATACTGCTATTCACGTATTTGCTACTGAATCAAATATTCACCAGAAATCCAGTGGCAGAGACACACAGGTTTGTGAACCTCAGAGTATACTTCCTAAATGAACTGGAAATTGTCAGCCAGCCTCACAGAAGGTCCTGGCCAGACTGGAAAAGGGAACCAAAGGTAAAACTAAGTAGTACAGATGATGAAATGATTAGAGAGAACAGAAGGGAGCTGACAAGTATGTGTGCAGGTGAGGAGGGGGAAGGAGTGAGGAATTTTTAAAGTCAGAAATTAAAATGTGTCATATTACTTTTTAAAAAGGTATATAGAATCTATTTACAATTTGTTTCAAGTGGGCTTTTCGTTTGCTCACAAGCAGCCTGTGTGGTAAGAGGAAAGGATGTGGGGACCGGGTCAAGAGACCTGAGAGGTGGAGGCCAGTGATCACCACTAGCTGTGGAATGGGGGAAAGTACCTCAGTTTCCTCATCTGTAAAAATTGGGATTAAAATTTTTTTACTTCTTGCTGTGGATGGAAGGATTAAAAAATGAAATGTTTTGTCAGCAGTGAAGTGACACAGACATTATAAATGTGTTGCAAAGTGCAATGAGCAGACACATTTGCAGTACATTTTATCTCCTCACAGTGAAGAGGGTAGATTGGATGCATGATAAAGAAATCATTTAGAGGGGGATGGGGAATATGGAAGTATATTTTTGCCTACGCATGTCCAATTTTTTTTAATGTGAGAGAATGCATTTCTTCTCTGAAGAAAACCCAAAACATTAAGATATGACCCAGTTTGTTGGGAATATAAGGTGATAGAAAAAAACTGCTGAATGACTCTCTGAGAATGCATGAAACCCAGAATGCAGGAAAATTCTAGATGAATGATCAGTTTCTTCAATAAATAAATGCAGTATGAAAAAAAGATGGAGGGGGATTTACATACATATCAACTAAATGGGGTATGTGGATTTTGGAGTCTGATTCTAATCAATCATAAAAACACATTTATGGGCCAGTTGGTTACTAGATGATATTAAGAAATTAGTGTAAGTTTTTTCAAGTGTGACCACTGTATTGTGCTTGCATGTTTTCCAGAAAGAGTCTTTTTCTAGTAGACTCTATACCAGATGCGATGAAGAGGTATCTTATGATTTGCTTCCATACAATCCAGTGGGAAGGGGGACAAAGCAGGTGGGGATACAGATGAAACAGTAGGCCATATGCTGATTAGGGATAGAACTAAAACACAGGTAGGTAGGGATTAATCTTATTTTTTTTCTACTTTTGTGTATGCTTGAATATGCCCATAATAAAAATAACTCCCCTAAAAAACACTAAAAATAGAGGTTGAGGTTGATCTATATAATGAAATTTAAAAGCTAAGATACAAAGCTACATGTACAGGATATGTCCTATTGATACTTAAAAAGCTGAAACTATTGCATGCACACCTGCACACGCATAGGAAAAAGATCTGCAAGAGACACACACGACTTTCCACAGTAGTATCTGTATGGGGAGAAGAATGAGACTGGGGGTGAGGGTGGGTATGGGTAGCAGGGAAACCCTTTCACTTTTGTCTTCTTCTGTATAATCTTACTTTTAAAACTGAGCATATACTCCTGTTGCTTGTGATTAAAGTAAAATTTAGCAAGCTACTATGCCCACTCACTTTGCAATGGCCTCATCGCGGTCTCGGATGGCCTTCTGAAGCTGCTCCTTTGGCTCCTGGTCCTCAGATGTCACTCTGAGTCGGTCTCTCTCCTCCTTCAGTGCAGTCATCTCCACACTCAGCAGTGTTACCTGACAGGGGACCACAGGGATGATGAATGTGGGGATACCACTGCTGCTGGCCTGGGGTGTTGCTCTCAAAGAGGCAGAAAGAAACAAGCAGCTCCAGATGGGTGCTTGTAGCTTCCTGGGACCCCTGGCTCTGAAAGACATCCACCTCTTCTGGAGAAAAGATGCCACATGCTGGGCTGGAGCCCACTGGCCAGGGCCGGGTAGGGGTGAGGGTAGGGGATGAAAGTCAGCCCTGGACAGCAGCCACGGGGGCTGGTCCCCCTTGTATGTGGCACGCCACACCACCGCTTCCACTTCAAGGCATTCCCAGGGAGCTAATGAAGACCCCACATGCATCAGGGCTCTGAAACACACGTTTAAGGGTAGGGACTCAAGTTTTGTTTCCAGCCATCTTCCACTCAACCTGGAACACTGCTATCCACAGGGCTCTGGCTGGACCCCAAAGCAAAGCCTGGGACCTGGCTCCCATTTCTGTAGCAGTACGTGATGCAACCTGTAATTCAGCTTCCCTGGTCAAAGCCATATGAAATTTAGACACCTATGAGATATCATCTTTCACTTTTCTGTGGTCTACGCCTCGTGAGTGGTCCCACAGCCCATTCACTGGGAGTCATCCTTTGGTGGTAACGTGCCCTTCCTAGTGGCTCCCTCAGTGACCACAACTTACCCTCTGTACACCTAGAGTTCTGCAATGGCAGGAAGCATGCTCTATTCGTCTGTGCATCTCAGAGCCTGACTGTATAATGCTTAATCCCCAAACGCTTGTGCAGTAGACAGTGGTCTTCTTTTGGCCAGTCATCATCCCAAATCCTTTCCTATTTGGAGGACATTCTTGGTTGCAGGAATTTTGGTGGGAGGTAGGGGATGCTCTCCCACTAAGGAAGCCAAAAGGGGAGAGTCATGTCCTTTCCTAGACACACAGGCATGGACAGTCACACACCCCTACCTGGGACTGATATTCTTGAGGATTCAGCAAAGCCACAGGCCAGGGGGAAATTATTACAGTGACAGCATATTGTTTCTGTGGCCCCCACTTCCTATGGCTCCTTCCTGTTTTAGAGTTCAGTTCCCCAGCCTTCCTATTGATTCTGTCAGGTATCAGATTTAATTTCAATATAGTCTCTGTCTTCTTAAGCAGAGAGAGTTTTTGTTTGTAACCAGAAACCCGGCTTGGTAGAACTTACAGTAAATATTTGAATGAATGGAAGGGTGGGAGCTCTCAGTCAATAGGCTCAGACTGGGAGTCAGACTGGCTCTGCCCTCTTGTTAAATATTACACATACTTCGACATTTTTCCAAGAGAGAATTTATCTATACCGGTCCAGCCCTCCCACAAGGAGACAGACACCACCTTTCAGTGTACTCCCCCCACCCCTTCTCAAGTCCCAGGCTTAAACATCTTCAGATGGATTGAAATGGTACAAAAACCCCAGGAACAAGGCTGAAGATCGAGCTTCCCTGAAGATGCTTTGGACTCCCTGGACTGAGATGGCAGAGTTGCCAGCTCCTGGGGAAGAGGCACTCGGGAAGAAATCAGGGGACACCCAGCAATGAAGAGGTGTACAGGGCAGTATGTTGTTACTGTGGGCCATGGATTTTGGCGCCTCGTAGGAAACATTACGTGCCTCCTGGGACTGATATTCTTTGTATCTTAGAACACTTAGGTGCCTTGTAGGAAACATTAGGACCCAGTGCTCTGTGCTTTCATGGTGGCGACAGCTGCGGTGAGCAGGGCTACAAGCTATAGGAAAGAGCATGCTGGGGTACCTGCAGAGGCCACAGGGTGGAGCTGGTCCTGAGGCAAGCAGGCAGCAGGTGAGAAACCCAGCCTCACCCTACTTACTAGTAGGTTCTGGAGCCTGGTAGGCCAGAAACTCAAGACCCAGGAAGTATCAGAAAGCCAGACCTCAAAAAAAAAAAAAAAAAAAAAAAAAAAAAAAAAAGAAAGCCAGACCTCCTCCAACCAAGTAAGCCCTAATGTGACGTTGGGCTGGCTATGCTCCAGACAAGGGTTTTGCCAGCTGAGTAAGCTACAGAGAAAACTACATGCAATAGAGGAAATGCCGACTTTTAATATGCTCCCGAAAAAACTCAACAAAATTTTGTGCTTTAGTCTGGAAAATGTGGTCAAGGTAGAGACCATCAGCTATCTGCCTTAGAAGTAACAGGGAACTTACCTTCTTTGAGCTGCACAAACTTTTCATAAAAAGCAGGAATCAAAATAACTAGTTTCCACCATCAAGTTGTTGTGAGGATCAAACGAGGCAGATGACTCGAGGGACCTAGCTCAATGCCTGGCACCTGGTGGCAAGCTCTACTCCTCTCTTTTCTCTGCACCTGTGTGGACCTACTGATGGCTATCATGAGGACTGACCTGGCTTGTTTATACAGGGACTTAGGTTGCAGCCACCCCTAAATCCACTTTTCCTACACAAAGTAGGTGTTCTTGAGAATGAATAGGATCTAAGAAAACATGCTGAAGTCATATATCTAGGGCTTTATCTGCCCTTTTGTTTGGTGATGATTTTTGTGCCTACTTGGTAAGGCCTGTGCCAGATGCTATAGGAAAAGGCAAAGAGAAGCCAGACCTCGAGCTTGTCCTCATGGGGAGGCGCGGTCTAAGTGTTAACTGAGAAGATGAGATGTGAGCAAGGATAGTAACCATGACCCAGCAGGGCCAGGGGCTCCAGGAGGAAGGGGATCAAGAGTTGGAAGGAGGAAGTGAAACCTGAAGGATGAGTAGGGCTGATATGTGCAGGTGACCAGGGAAAGTCTTCTGGGTAGAGGCGAAGGGCTGGAGAAAAGGCCCAGATGTGGGGAAGCACAGGGTGTGTGTGTCATGCCCTTTCATAGCCAAGGAGGGGAGATGCAACCCTTTCAGTTGGTGAATGCCAAGGAGGGGAGATGGAAACAATAAGGAAGAAGGCTACATGGCCAGTATGCAGTCAGACTGTGGGGCCATGGGAGCTGGCGGCTTCCCACTACTTGCTGATAGGAAGTCAGTCCAGAATTTGTAAGAGAGCTCAAGTTGTGCTTCATGAAGATCAACCCAAATCATGTGGAGGGTAAGTGGGTGGGAGACGTGATGACCAAAGCCATGGTGTGATAGAATGAAGGTCTGAAGTAGGGCAGTGGCTAAGATGCAAGGAAAAAGAATACAGTGAGTTTCACACAGGAGGGGTCACCAAGAGGTCATCAGCCAAGGCCTTCCATGTCCCCAGTACATGCTCCACTGTGTTTTCATGCTCCTCTGTAATAACTGGCTAGTACTCCAGTCAAGCCCTATCAAGGAGCCCAACACAGGACTGGGACTGTTTTTTAAGACTGATTGGTTGATTTGAAAAAAAAAAAGAGAGAGAGAAAGAGCCAGCATATGCGCAGCAGCAGGGGGGTGGGGGGAGAGAATCTCAAGCTGACTCCCTGCTGAGCAAAGAGCCCGTAGGGCTCGATTCCAGGACCCTGGGATAATGACCTGAGCCAAAATCAAGAGTCAGCCACTTAATCAACTGAGCCACCCAGGAGTCCCAGGCCTGGGACTGTTTCTCACTGCACCTCCCACAGCCTGGCTTGCTGGCTTGGGAACTGGTGGAGAGGCTCCATAGATAACTGGTTTTCCGATTGCTCTGAACATCCTCCTTGCCTCCCAGCTGTTGCTCCAGATCCCAGTAAACCCTGATCAGGAGGGAACAGGAGCCTGCAAAGCTGTGGAGAATGCAGAGAGGGGGTAGGGAGCTCTCCATGGCACAAGGGTGTGGGGTAGTCTTCAGGTCTAGTTACAGATTCTTGTCTCAAAAATAATTATCAGTTAAAATTAAACCTGAGTGCTCTTTTATTTAAAAATCTGGATAGGGCAGCCCAGGTGGCTCAGCGGTTTAGCGCCACCTTTGGCTCAGGGCGTGATCCTGGAGACCCGCATCGGGCTCCCTGCATGCAGCCTGCTTCTCCCTCTGCCTGTGTCTCTGCCTCTCTCTCTCTGTGTCTCTCATGAATAAATAAATAAAATCTTTTTTAAAAATAAAAATGAATAAAATAAAAATCTGGATAGGTTTCTGAGGGTCTGGTCACTTCACCTTCTAGGTCCCCCACCTTTTACTTCTGGCTCAGTTTCCAGGAGAAAAAATAACACTCTTGGGTAGGAAAGCAGTGGGCTTGGAGGCTGGATCATCCCTTGGACGAGGTTTCCTCTCAGTCTGGGAGCTGTCTGCTGGGACTTTGGTTTCACATAACCTTGTCTGGACTCTGTCCACCTCATCCCCAGCCCCACCAGGGTACAGAGCTGGTGTGAGCCCCCTCCTCACAATTCTAGAAGCTGGGGAGCACAGGGCGTAGTCAAGCCACTCCTGAGCATCTCAGGGTCTAGGGCAGTGGAGGGCAGTGCTCAGGAGCTGCCGCACTAATTGCACAAGGAGTGCTGTGCCCGCTCTGACAGCCACCACGTCTCCACTGGCATTCTGCGATTCAATCTGCATCCTAACCCCTGCCCTGGGAGGTCAGTGTATTCCTGTCAAGGGATGCTTTTGGATGGATGGAGTTTGGCTGAGAGAGCTGTTGCTTTGACAAAGCTTCTGGGCAGAGAGGACCTGCTGAAGAGGCACAGTCCTATCCCCCATGGGACTGAGCATAACTATCTGCCTGATGAGCTACTGGAGGGGGAATCCACAGGAACTGGCAGAAACCACTTATCAGTTGAACTTTTAAGGAGCATCCCCTGGTGGAGAAAGGCTCTGAAAGAGCTGGGTCCAGGCCCTCAGCAACCTGTGCCTTGCTCGTGTTTCTGAGTAACGACCCTGCTATTTCTAGTTCTGCTACTCTGAGAAGCAAAGAAACAAACAAACCAGCCGACCTCAAGGGGCTGATAAGCAGAAGCACCCCCACAAAAATTTAAATAGGCTTTAAAGTAAATAACACTTTTATTAACCCAAAGAACTTTTAGAACCACTTTGTCCAGTTTTTATTCTTACAGTTTGAAGACCTGTGCTAAGTCTGGCCGAACGACCGCCTGAAGGACTTAGGTTTTAGGCATGACAATGCCATTCTTTGGGGCTTGGCCAGAGACCAGCGACAGCCCTCAACAACATCTCTCCTCACTATCTGGTCACTCCCAGCAAGATTATAGCAACAGCTGCGGGAAGGCCTCCCAGTATCTTGCAAAAGAATTATATTAGGATGTCCAACGACTATGACTCCCAAAAGGAGTTTATTTCTCTAAGGTCCTTTAAATTTAAGAAATACTGACTGAAGCAAAAGCCAGGCTGAACTTCCCTCTCTCAGCACTCTGGTGCAGCAGGAAGGGATGACCAGCTTTGGTTGAAGAAGAAAGGGAGCAGGCTGGGTGGGGGCACGGTTTAAAATGCTACCTGTCTTTTGTTCCCCACAAGTGGGACAGAATACCACACATTACCCTTGTCAAGAGGAAAAGCCTTATCCATCTCCTTGGATAGAATTTAAAAGCTCCTTTCTGGGTGGGGGTGCTCCTAAGCCCTTTAGAACTTCTCAGATTGGAATACAGATGCCCTTCTCCCAGATTCTCGAGAAAGGTGAAATCATGATCAAACAGGAATGGAACAGCAAGACCAGCAGTAAGTGCTTCTAAAGCTTAAAAACAGGCTGGCAGAGGTGATGGCATTAGAGAGAGAACAGGCCTGTAGAGATCAATTACTTCTTGGTTTGCAAACTTCCCTGCTTAGAAGCTGCTGGAAAAACAACCATGAATATCCTGAGAGCTACAGCACTTTAAACTGCCAGAATCCGCCAGATAATTTGGGCTCTGTGGAAGGCAGCATGTCACTGGAGGAAATGGAAGGTCAGCTATTCTTATCTCTAACAATTTTACTTTGGGCTAAACCAGAGGGCTGGCTTCTTCTCTTGAAGACTCCCAGCTCACCTCAACATCAGGTCACCGTCCTTTGAGGATTCGTCAGAGGAGAGCCACTTCTCAAATAGATGTGAGAGAGGGAAACTCATGAGGGGCCCAGAGAGCCTGGAGGTGCTCACCTGACTGTGCAGTTGCTGCAGCTCCTCTAGGCTTTGCCTCAGTTTACCCCTCTCTCCCTCCATGAGTTCCCTGAGGGCTCTCGAGTCCTCACTGGTCTGCCTTATCTGTTCTTCTAAGGAGTCATCATCAATTCTCCGGGAGCTCTGACAGCAAAAGAGAAAGCCACCAAACCAGAGAGATGGTGCAAGTGGGGGTGGGTGTGGTGAGATAATTAGTGGGAGAGAGAGAGAGGGGAGGTACAGGGAGGAGGCAGAGATGGGTGGGTGTGGAGGAAAGCAGGAGAGAGGAGATGGGGTGGGAAGGTGGAGGAAGAGAAAGAGGAGAGACACAGGAGGGAAGAAAGAAAGGGTTAGAGGAGAGAGACTCTCTTGCCCAATTTTGATATGCAAACATTAGCTAGACACTTATTTTTGTTTCAGGCTTCAGGGGAGGGAAGTCACATGAAGAGCACATCTCACTCTGACTTCTCCCTTGCCCCACAATGACCCGGCCTCCAAACCCACAGCACATTCCACAAATCCACATGGCATGTTCAGGTAAAGACAACCACCCTTTCACAGGATTTCATCTGATAGGGGCAGAAAGACATTAACTATTCTGTAGAAGGGTGGGCCCTGCAGAGAAACAACTGCCTGAGAGCCGGGGGTGTGAATGCAGAATAAGTACGGCAGAAATCTGTCACGAAGCTGGAAGAAACGCCAGCTTGCCCAGGAGGCCCACAGGAACTTTCCTCTCCTTAAGAGGAGCCGCATCTGGAATTCTAAAAGGCCATTGTTGATCTTCTCAACTTTCTGTGCTCCCCTATATCTTTTGAGAAGTTTCAGATCTTTTAAGTTTGCCTATTCACAGCTAACTCCACCACTAGGACCAATGAAAAGAAATTTGCAGTTTGCAGCTGGATCCAAATTCCTCTACTCAAAGCTTCTAAGGAAAGCCCTTGAACTCGAGGCCACTATGACCTGGACTTAACCACATGGAGAAGGGGCTCCACACACACGCCAGTGTCTTCAGGAAGATGATCAAGGAACTTCCATTCCCTGACACTCTGCCCCATCACCAGTGTTCAGTGCTCTCAGGCAATAAGGGCTCAGACAAGAAATTCTTGCAGATTTTGTAAGATTCTGCTTCCAGGGTTAACCTCATCCCCCTCACTTGCCTTCAGCCTCTGACCAGCCAGGTCGTGTAGGGTGAGGGGCTTCTTGGCCCGGCCGCTTACCGTGGGCTCCATGCCATCCACGATGCTCTGTATCAGCCTCTTGAGCTCGCTCAGGGCAGTGCGCAAGCTGCCGGCTGGCACATCCTTGGCAGACGAGGTTTCGGAAGACTCATCCATCGAGGAGTCCGTGGAGACGGCCGAGTCGGCACTGTCATTCCCTCGGAGGTGGGAGCAGAGATAGCGAACCTGGCAGTAGGCCTCCCAGAGCTGCAGTCTTAGCTGCTCCACAAAGAATCGTTCCTGATTACAGACTCTAGAGAAGACTGCTGGCTGCTCATCATTTTCTAGTGTAGGAACCTAGCATACTGGCACCCAAGAGACTAGTTCCAAGAAAAGGAGTTTTTCTTTTTTAAATCCTCTGTCCCCAAAAATACTGATACTTATTCTGAGCCCAGTACATCTATCCAGATTCCCAATTATTAACACCCCAGCCCTCTACTCCCCTATCATTTGTCATAAAAGCCCTTCTTTATATCGTCGGTTCCTTTGCTAGAAGTCATGATTAGGGAAGTGAGTGGTTAGGAGTAGCATGAAAAAATAGCCAACTGAATGGATCATGAATGTTCTAGAACCCAGTTAGTAGGAGGTAGGAGGCTGAGGATTAGCCAAAAAGCATCTCCTAAGAGGTGCTGGGGCAACAGTGAGCCTGGGACATGCTTTGGTCAGGGCTTGCTTCCTGATGCCTCTAGCCAGCAGGCCAAGGCTTAGGCAGGTATAGTGCCAGGGCCCTGGCTGGGATAAAGTAGAAACAGGAGGCACCAGGTGATGACGCAGACTGGCTCCTGAAGTCTGGGGCCTGCCCCTAGGGGATCCCTGGGCAACCTCTCATGCCAGAGTGACAGGGTATCAGTACCTGCTCCCTCTCTTGCTCCAGCTCCTCAGCCTCCATGCTCTGTTCTATCTCAGACAGGAGGGACGTGCTGGTGGCAGCAGAGCTCTGCAGACTCCTCTCCTCAGCCAGCTCTTCCACTTTTACCTGCAGCTGCCGGTAGGATAGTCGTACCTCCTGAAGCTCCAGCTGGCTTTGATGTAGCTGTCAAAGAGACAACAAACGGTAGTGAGGCTTTCCCAAGCCAAAAACAAAAAAGAATCTGACCGTGCTTCTAGGTCCAACCGCCAATTTATAGAAAAATACCGAGAGAACGTGCTAGATTACGCTAGGGGTGTGTGTGCGGGCAGTAAACTTCAGATTTGGGAAATTCTACAGGACCAACAGCTCAGCTTCTTCGACATACACATTTTAAGAAAAAAAGAAAGGATAAAGGGAGAATCTATAGATTAAAAGAGACTTAAGAGACATAATAACTGCAATGTGTAGGCTTATTTTAATTTGTATCTTGATTCAAGGAAAAAATGAAAACCAATTATGACATTCATAATTCAGTTAAAAAATTTGAGCACTGGCTATTTAATATTAAGAATATATTGCAGGGGGATCCCTGGGTGGCGCAGCGGTTTGGCGCCTGCCTTTGGCCCAGGGCGCGATCCTGGAGACCCGGGATCGAGTCCCACGTCGGGCTCCCGGTGCATGGAGCCTGCTTCTCCCTCTGCCTGTGTCTCTGCCTCTCTCTCTCTCTCTCTCTGTGACTATCATAAATAAATAAAAATTAAAAAAAAAAAAAAAAAAGAATATATTGCAGGGGCACCTGGCTGGCTCAGTTTATAGAGCATGTGACTCTTGATCTTGGGGTTGTGATTTCGAGCCCCATGTTGGACGTGGAGCCTACTTAGAAAAATAAAAAGTTAGAAAAAAACAGGGAAAATATTGTTTTTATTCCTTAGATATAATAGTCCTGTGGCTATTTTTTTAAGATTTTATTCATTTGTGTGTGTGTGTGTGTGTGTGTGTGTGTGAGAGAGAGAGAGAGAGAGAGAGAGAGAGAGAGAGAGAGAAAGAACAGCAGGGTGGGAGGGCAGAGGGGGAGGGAGAAGCACATTCCCCACATTCCCGAGCAAGGAGCTCAACATGGGGCTCGATCCTAAGACCCCAGGATCACAACCTGAGCTGAAGGCAGAGGCTTAACCGACTGAGCCACCCCAGTGACCCTCATGGCTATGTTTTTTTTTTTTTTAAGTTCTTATCACTTAGAGGTATTCTTTATTTACAGATGAAGTATAAAAATTCTGGGATTTACTTCAGAATAATACAAAAGAGAAACAGGTAGATGTAATGAACTTGGGGCAGGACTGGCTGGGACTCAATGATTTGTACAGCTGGCAATGGGGTACATGGGGCATCATCACACTATTTTACTTTTGAATTTGTATAAAATTCTCCATACTAAAAAATGAACACACCACATATAAAGGCACACATAGTAAGGTACAATTCTCACCAGAATGACTAAAATAAATAATAAAATAATGATACCAAGTGTTGATGAGGACGTGGAACACCCGAGAGTCTCCCCGCTGTTGAGAGTGAAGATGTACAACCACTCTGGGGTAACTGGCTTTTCTACTGGGTGGAATATGCAGCTATCTCATGGCCCAGAAGTTCATTTGTAGGTGCAGACCCAACACAAATGGCTGTGTATGTGCCCGCAAGATAGAAAGGATGTCTACAGCAGCATTATTCTTAAGAGCCACAAATGGGAAATAATCCAAATGCCAATATAGAATGGAGAGATATAGTCAAATTGGAATACTATACAGCAGTGAAAAATGGAAGAACACACTGCTACTATATGCCATAACATGGAGGGATTTCATAGACATAATGTCAAGGAAAAGCCAGACATAAAACAATATGTAATATAGAATTCATTTATAATATTAAAAAGTTATCTTTTTAAAAAGATTTATTTATTTATTTATTTATTTATTTATTTATTTATTTGAGAGAGAGAAAGTGAGCAGGAGTAGGGGTAGAGGGAAAAGCAGACTCCCTGCTGAGCAGGGGGCCCAATGTAGGGCTCAGTCCCAGGACCCCAGGATCATGACCTGAGCCAAAGGCAGAAGCTTATTCAACCGAGCCACCCAGGTGTTCCATAAAAAATTCTGAAACTTCATTGAGACAGAAGAGATGAAAGTGGAAGAGAAGTCTGCCTTTGAGAACTACTAGGGTACTGACTGGGAGGCACAAAAGGGAAGTCTGCAGGGTGCTGATAATGGGCTTTATCTTGCTCTGGGAGGTGGTTACACAGGGGTATATATTTGTAAAAATTCACTGGGATGTCCACTTAAGATTTGTATGCTTTACTGTATGTATGTTGTATTTTAGTGAAAAAATTTAAGGGGAAAAGGGCTGTCTGTAATGAAGTTAGGGGTAGGATTTGGAATAATACCTGGGTAGAAACACCAAGAACTCCCAAACCCATGAGAAAAGTGGTCTCTGCCTACTGTCTGTGTCGTATCTCAGTTTACAGATAAGGCCAGGCCTGGGAGGGGCCTTATGCAGCACGTGTGGCTCAGAGGAGGAGAGGGATGCCAGTGATAGAGGGGAAAGCAGTGCAGCCATCGTGACTTACAGGCCTGGGCTCCTTCCCTCTCTCCTGCTACTGCTACTTCACTCCTCTCTGCATGCTCTGTGGCCTCTTTCCTGTGGAGTCCAAACAGGGCCCTGCTACCTGCTAAGATTAGAACTGCTCAATGTTGACTCCACCATGGCTGCTAAACGTTGTACTCTACTAGTGCACTCCATCACTACACTTGCTTTTAACACAACAGATCCTAACTGCAGAATTTTCATCTGCTTGCTAACCATTATGCACATGTCCACATATTACACCTACACAAGAGCAATGTTTCCACTCCCGTATTTGTGGACTGCCCACCCACCCCTTTTTAAGAGATTTTGGGGTGGGGTAGTGGGGGGGGGCAGGAGAAAAGAGTTTCCTGGGATTTAATTTTAACTAATTTATTCTTTTATAACAAAGGATTTCTGGGGTTACCCCTGTTCATTAAAAATAGAGCAGACATGTTACTGCCTGTTCCAGACTACTGGCCAGATAGGCTTGTGGCTCCTGCAGCAATGCAGACACTGAGCAGCAGTGGTTAGCAACTCAGAGCTCTGTCATTCTCATGAATGAGGCAAGCTGCCTTGCAGAGCCTCTAGCCAATACTTTAGGTGCCCTAGGGCCTTGCCTCTGCTGATCAGCATCAGACAACAGTTGCCTAATGGCACCAGTGATCCGGATGTACCTTAACTAGGAAGAGTCTGGAGCCTGGCTGCTCAGAGAATGAAAATGGAACTGGCAAGCTTGCTCTTTCTACAGAGCTCCCATGGATCAGCAATACCTGCTGGTCAGTGGGAACTCCTCCAGCCCCAGTTTTGAGAAAACTCAGAAAGAAGAAAGTAGGGTTAAAAAAAAAAAAAAAGACATTCCTAGGAAGCATTTGGCACAATTACAAATGGCATACTAATAAGCAAAATGCTTTACAATTATTTTCTAAGCAACTCCACATACATCTCAGCAGGAGAAGCTCAGCACAGACAAGTACAAGTTCTTATGCACTGGACAAGATTAGTTCAATTACTCATGCACACTAGAGGATGCTTAATTAATTATAACAGTGAGAGAGCAAAAGACCAGAACAGGTCTGCCCTCTCTGGTCAATAATTGATCCACAAGCATATGCAGAAAAACTGAACCAGAGGAGTCTATTAAATATAAGAAATCTCTAAAATAAGAAATATCATATTTTGTATAATAAAGATGACACTAAATGTATTTATATATGTACAAATAAGAAAGACACCAAATTCCTGTGTTGGTGTAGTACACTAGGCTTAAGCTTACAATGCTCATGCCCCTAGAGTGGGTGGAAGTGGGAGCCCCCTCCCATTTCACACTGAGGGAACTAAGACTATGGTATGATGTTAAGTGTCAAAGCAGTCTATAGCAGGCCACCTGCTTCCTGGGTCACCCCACAGAGTGGGGGCTATGTTTTCTGCTGATGAAATCCTGGGACAAGGCCCCTGCACATATCCGTAAGATGCCCACATGGATATGAATCGAGTCATATAGGGCATTTAAGTGGTCCTTAGAGGGACAAAATCCTTTACTGGGTATTAAGAGTTCAGCAAAATGTCCAGTTTTTTAATTTATTGGGTATTCAACAAATAATAATTTTTATACCTATTGTCAGTCTGAAAAATAATTAGAGCTGGAGTTGATTGGTAGTTTAAAAAACCACATTAGATAGTAGAACCCCAACTACATAGTGAACTGGAGAGAGTGAACTAAAGACAGGGGCTACCCTGGTCATGTAGGCCTGATGCCCTGCCTACTCAGCCTTCTTCTCGTCCTTTATCTGAAACAAAGGATTAAAATCATGGAATTATTATATATATTCCAAAGCCACCAGCTCTACCTTCCACAAGTCTGATTTAGACCCCTCAATTACTCCCTGAACAAGTTGGCATTTTTATTTCTGTATTCAGTACAGGCCATGTCAGCAACAGAAAGGGCTTTCTGGAAGACACTGTTAATTAGCAGCAGCTTAAGGAAAATTTCATATGAGCTGAAGGAAAAGAATCACAAAAAGGTGGGAAAGATAAGAATTCAGCCCACAAACCCAGATTCTACCAATCAAAGCGTACACTGCCTGACTTGATATAGGATGTGGGGGCACTGACTCTCATCCTTGAAGAACGTAGCCAGAAGACAGTGGATGTGCTGACAGTGAGAATGTAAATGTGGTGTGACCTGGGGCTCCTTCTGCCAGAGAGCACAACCCACAGTGCTAGCCAGGGACTGGATGGTGCACGCTGGTCCTGCTCTTCCCCATCCTTCAGTCCCCAATTCTTGGTTTGATATAAGGACTTCTCATTTGTGAATTCAAGCTAGACTGAAAGGCTCTTTTAGGCAGGGGTCATTTCCCTGTTTTCCTGTATTTCTCTTCCTTCTTCATACTCAACCTCAGAAGAATGCCTGATGGTGTAAGAAATTCTGGTGAGACACTGGCAGCAGCAAGGGATGCACTAGATGTTATCATTGAGCACTACGTGAAGCAGGTGGGAGGGCTCTAATTTCAATTCTACCAAGGACTTAACTACAATACTTTGGTAAATGATCCACTTTTTTCTAAGCCTGTTTTAGAATGTATACAAAAGCACCCTGTTCCCTGTAAAGAAGTATACAAATGTTCACCACTATTATCATCATCAGCTTAGAGTATGAGCCAACTCCTTTCCACCTTGAGAATAGCTATGAGGCTTTGGCCAGCATCATTCTCTTTTCAACATTTATAGAGGCCCTACTGTATGCAAAGTTCTAAGCTGAAGGTACAAAAAAAAAAAAAAAAACCCATGGAAGGTGTAATACTGCTCATTTGCCCTGAAAGACGTTAATTACTCAGATGGCAGCTTAGCTGATGGTGTCAATAACAAGTGATGTTAGCTTAAGATGTTACCTTATCCCACATCCTACAGCTCTCCTCAATGGCTGACCGCTGAGCCCAGTGGGGTCTGCTGTGGCTTGGTCTTTGGGGAGAGATTCGTCTGGGGCTTGAGCACACTTGGCTGACCGCCTCCACATGAATGACATTGTTGCAATCTCCCCCACTGGCTGGCATGCTCAGAGGGTACCCAAGGGGGAGCAGTAGCAGTATACTCTTAGCCACTGGCCCCAGGTGCTCCTAGGCCACTATGGCAAAGCTGCCTTTGTAGCAGATGTCACACACTATTTCTGAGGCTAGGAGCGGTTATCTTTTTGTTTAGGGGGTTGTCAAGTGTGAGCTTGGGGATTCAGCTGAGGACTAGTGGCAGGTCCCAAATAAGGACAAATATGGCCATGAAGCACTTTCCTTTAGGAAGGAAAAAGAGGCCAATTAGGTTCACAAAGAGGTCAACCTATGCCTTTTCTAGTAACTGTTAGAAGCAGGATATAAGTCTTGCTGTGTTCAGCAGGCAGCTTCTTGAATTCTGCTCAGTGCAAGCTAAGTGCATGAGCCTGGGAAAGCAGCCGCAGAGAGCATCGTGAGCCAAGCACAGAAAGTCATAGGCTCCCTCTGAAATCTCTAGCAGATTTCACAAACCCTAGGAGGCAGAATGACACGCCCCATGTTCCAGTCATGTTAACAGCCCAGAAAGAACTCTTAGAAACTGCTCCAGGGGCCATTGGCTCAGAACAAATTGGAAAGATGACCTGTGGGTAGCGATGCGTTTGTTTTCGGTAGATCCAGACTGGCCTAGCTGGTGAGTGCCCGAGGAGAACAATAACAAGGCCAACAGAGGGGCCTTGCCTTTATCCCATCCTGACCCCTGATGGGGTGCTGGTCGGGCAGATAAGCCTTTCATCTGGCCCTGGCCCTACAGGACAGCTTCTCTGCCGCAGTACCTGGAGGTCTTTGTCATGGCCTTGTCTCTCCAGGACAAGCACCCGGTCCTGTAGCTCCTCCACGGTCCCCTGCAGCAGGTCGTTCTCCTGTAAGGTGGCACTGAGACGATGCTCAAGCTCCCGTTTCCGATCTGACAGCATCTTGATCTGAAAGGGTGGAGAGTCACAGGGGTGGTGGGCAGTCACACCCAGGCTGAGGAGGAGGAAAAGAGGCACTAGCCTCAAACATGAAGGCAAGTGTCTGTCCAGGGGCCCCCATCCCTGAAAGAACAGCTGCAAACTCCTGAGCTGAAGAGAAAGCCCCTCCCTTCTAGAAACCTGTCTGGGAAGGGGTGGGAGATGAGCTTTGGGGAAGCTGGAATGTGGGATGCCAGGCAGAGGAAGGGAAGGTCAGTGTTCTGGAAATTCCACAGATAAGACAGCGAAGGGCTCCACCTTGCCTGCCCGTGACTTCACCTCAATCCCACAATTTATGGGGGAGTGGAACCCAACCCTCCATACCATTCTTCCTTTTCAGGAAAATGCCTGAGACAACCTCTTGAGCTGCTATCTTGTCATACACTTTGATGGCTCTCTTCTGTACTTTCCCCTACTGCTAACGGGTCTGGATCACCAGGCAGTACAGACCTGGTGCCCCACTTTAATGGGGGAGCCAGCAGGGTACAGAAAACAAAGTAGTGCCTGCATCAGCCTGTGTCCTGGAAGGAACAGGACATGGACATAGTAACTGATTTTACTCAAAGTGTCTTTTTGCCTGAGCAAGTAATCTATGAATAGGAGCAATTGCACTCCTTTTATTAAACAGGTTGGTATGTCTGTACACTGCATAGCTATCCAGTCTCAAGAGATATAAATCTTCTTTTAGTAAGGCCTGTCTAGTCTCTTCAATGTCTGTGAGAAAACAAAGGAAAGGAGAAAAGAGATGCCAAGCCTTTTGGCCTCACAGTCTATAGGCTCAGGAGCTGTGCCAACATTCCACAAGGTCAGTGATGCTTCACCCCAAGAACACTGCCCCACTCAGGGGCTATGGAAGCCTTCCCAAGTCCTGCAGGCAGGTCCCACTGGCTCCTCCTGACTATCAGTTCCCTGCTGGGCTCATCCCTTAACCAGCTTCTTGCTCCCAACATGGCTAAGATGTTCTCCATACATTCCAGTTTGGCTTGGAGAATAGTCCATTTCTTTCCTGGGGAGATCTGGAAATGAATGTCTAACATGTCTGAAGTTCTCTGAAATCCACCTTTCCCTCTGCTTTTTGCCTCTTCTCACTTGCCACACTAGAATTCTGTTCAGAGGGCAGAGATCTTCCCTGGCCACCAATCAATCAGATAGGATGCTGTCCTGGGGAAATAAAGTATGTGGCCTTTGTCCAGAGAGATCAGGTATCTGGCCAAACAAAGAAATACTGTCTCAAGTGTGCACCCGGGTAAGGGACAAAAAGGAATAGAGCTCTTTCTGAATGGGGCCACTATTCCCCACAGTGAAGCATGTTACCCACATGAAGAAATTCTTACTCTAGTTGATTTTCATTTAAATACCCTCTGACCTTTATATTTTCCTTCCATGAATAATTTTTGTTTCTCAAGTTCCACTCAGTGAAATAATGAGATAATACAGTTCCAACAGGCAATCCTAGCCCTTTTAAAAAAAATGTAGAAGTTCAGAGCTCCATGAGGAAACATGCTTAAATAATTTCATAGGTTGGCTTTTTAAAGTAGCAGTGTTACTGGATGAAGCAAGGCATCGGCACTGCCTAACTCCACCCTATACACCCTAAGACTTGTGACCAAATCTGCCAATTGACATTCCTGGGAATAACTCTGAGTCACGAGGGTCTTGAAAGAGTAAGCAGAGGGAAGAGGAAAACAGGCAACTCGAAGGAGTCAGACCTTGGTAAAGGCAGTTGAACGGCAAGTCATGCACACAAGTGGTCACAGACAGGCATGCCAAACCCCACCAGAACCAACTACTTACTTCAAGAACCTGCTGCTCAATACCAGTAGTATTTCCAAGGGAAGGGAGAAGGGAAGGGAATGACAGGCAGGAGAAAAGAGAAGATATTGACAGACTTTAGGAAAAACATCTTCAGGTCATTTCCAAAGAAAGGGAGCAGCCATCTGGGTTTCTCTGGGCCTGACTACACCTACTGATTCCTTAACCACAGGGGGTGTGTACATTCATTTGGCCCTAGACCATCCCTTCAAGTGTAACTTAGCCAAAGGGTTGCTGTCCAGACAAACTAGCTTAAGGGCCCTTAGGATCAGATTAGGTGCAAGCCTCTGGGGTGGAAGAGCCCATTTGGTTTGGTGATAAGACTCCCCTCTCCTCACCTCCCACAACTGGGTTCTCACTGAGTTGGCCCTTAAGTGCTACTTTTTCTTTCCCTCTGGCCCACTGAGGGCCACAGACCCTGACTGCCATGCTCTGGCCTCTCAAACACTCCACATTGAGTGCTTTTCATGTATTAATTCATCAAATACAACAACCCGATGAAGTAGCTACTTGTGTTACTCTCATTTTACATGTGAGAATATAAGAGATCCCATCAAAGTAGAATGAACTGGACCTAAATGGAACGGAGAAAGGGAAAATGCTCTTTCCCATCTTCTATTTAGGATTGGCAAGAATGTTTTTGGACCAATCAACACATTCAGTAAAAGTAGGTCATTCATGATTTCAACACACTCAGCAGTAACTCTGAGCAACATTATTCTTTCAGACAACAGGCTACCCACTGCAACATGAATCGAATGTTTCTCATTTAGTTTCTACAGATACATCTCTCTTTAGAGAATTTACATATAGCAGGGTTTTGTTTCCCAGTTCAGAAGACTCCTTATCCAAAACATCTAGCACAGCGCCTCCACTGAGAAAAGCACTTCCATCTTCAAGCACTGCCACATGGGAAGGCTCACCTCAGCCTGAAGGCTTTCAAGCCTGATGATGTGCTGGTTGGTTGATGAGTTTTTCTCTCGAAAGTCTTCTCTGAGGGCATGGACTTGCATGGAGAGTTGTCTCTCAACTTCTGATGCCTGCAAGCAGAGGAGACCTTCAGGGTGGATTCAGAGGCTGTGCAAAGGAAGTCTGTTAAGATTTTAGCCTTTTGTTTCCCAAGGATCCCTTTCCAATTTCCTACTCCGTAAAGAGAATAGGATGAAATGTTGGCTTCCCACCCCCAGTTCATGTGTTCCCTAGTGCTCCAATAAGACAAACTCCCATCCCTACTTTCACTATGGATGAGTCTGTCTTGGTAAAGACCACTTTACTAGTCAGAAGAAACAGGCCTAGGAATGGTAAGCTCTCAAATGTTCGATAGCATTATAATTACTCAGTACACAGCAGAACCTCAGCAAACATCTACTAAATTGAGAGAAGGCTTCAGTGTTTTATGTAAGAGTATGACAGATAAACCTACTACCTTCGAAATCCCTTTATTTCTCTCAGAAATTTCTGTATTTATATTCTCTCATTCTTTTATTTTCATTTCCTTAGCAGAGCCCAGGTAAATCATCTCTGTCTACATTTCTTATTTCCATTCAACACGGGCACTATTTGAAGTTCTCTGTCTTGTCTGTTAAGATTTTTTTTAAGTTTTTATTTTTTTAAATTTTTATTTATTTATGATAGTCACACAGGGAGAGAGAGAGAGAGAGGCAGAGACATAGGCAGAGGGAGAAGCAGGCTCCATGCACCGGGAGCCCGACGTGGGACTCGATCCCGGGTCTCCAGGATCGCGCCCTGGGCCAAAGGCAGGCGCCAAACCGGTGCGCCACCCAGGGATCCCTAAGTTTTTATTTTTAAAGAATTTTTCTACATCTAGCTTGGGGCTCAAATTCACAACCCTGGCATCAAGAGTTGCACACTCCCTCAACTGAGCCAGTCAGACACCAATATCTGTTAAGATTTTTGTCATTGGGCAGCTCGGATGGCTCAGCGGTTTAGCGCCGCCTTCAGCCCGGGGCCTGATCCTGGAGACTTGGGATCGAGTCCCACGTCAGGCTCCCTGCATGGAGCCTGTTTCTTGCTCTGCCTGTGTCTCTGCCTCTCTCTCTCTCTCTCTCTCATGAATAAATAAAATCTTAAAAAAAAAGATTTTTGCCATTTATTCCTCAAGGATATATTTTGCAATTTTTAATTCTCTGGGGAGTGTTGGCTAAGGCAGTTATTTTCCACCCTAATCCATCTAGTCTCTAATGCTCCGTCACAGAACAACAAAGACATTTAGTATATCAGCACCTTCTCTTGAATACGCAGGAGAGTATTTTGAAAGAATGCTTCCTTGATAAGATTTGAACTCTCGTCTTTCTCCTGAAGGCCCACCCCAGCTTCCTGTGTGCACTGGCCCTGAACGCTGCCCAGTTGAGAGAAGATAGCCACAGGATAGTTTAAGTAACTGCCTCAGTGCTTTTTTGAGGCTAAAAGGGGTCAGTAAGCTTTAAGAGTTCTTGGGAAAGATCACTGTGTGCTGAAATGGTTAGGAAAGGCTTCTGGAGGAGGTGGGATGGTAATAATTTTGATATGGTAGGCTAGCTGTTCAGTGAGGCCCTCGCACTAATAGATACATGTTTGATAGTTTTTTTTTAAGATTTTATATATTTATTCATGAGACAGAGAGAGAGAGAGAGAGAGAGAGAGAGAGAGAGAGAGAGAGAGAGAAAGGGGCAGGTGGAGACACAGGCAGAGGGAGAAGCAGGCTCCATGCAGGGAGCCCGATGTAGGACTCGATCCTGGATCCTGGGATCACGTCCTGAGCCGAAGACAGACGTTCAACCGCTGAGCCACCCAGGCGTCCCTTTTTTTAACTTAAAAAAAAAAGTATTTATTTAGTACAGGGGTGGGGGACGACAGAGGGAGAGAGAATCCCTAGGCAAACTCCCTGTCGAGCACAGAACCCATGTGGGGCTCAATCCCATGACTCTGAGATACAACCTGAGTCAAAACCAAGAGTTGGACACTCAATGGACTGAGTCACTTGGGTGCCCCTACATGGTTGTTTTTATCTTCAAGTGCTATATAAGCAATTGCTCATCGTTGTTTTGGTCCCAAAGATTCAACAAATATTGCTCCCCTGCACAAGAAAGCTTTATAAGAATCTCGGGCTATAGTTCTAATTTTTAAACGTTATAAAACATGCAACAGGGCAGCCTGGGTGGCTCAGCGGTTTAGCGCCGCCTTCGGCCCAGGGCCTGATCCTGGAGACCGGGGATTGAGTCCCATGTCAGGCTTCCTGCATGGAGCCTGCTTCTCCCTCTGCCTGTCTCTCTCTCTCTCTCTCTCTCTGTCTCTCATGAATAAATAAAATCTTAAAAAAAATACACAACAAAATAAAATCACTTTTTTCCTTATTCTAAATTTAATTTCAGACACCATCAAATTGTTTCAGTTTGTTTTTTGTTTTTTTTTTAAAAGATTTTATTTGTTTGTTAGAGAGGGAGAGAGTGAGCAGGTGCTCACAAGCAGGCAGAGCTGCACACAGAGGAAGAGGGAGAAGCAGGCTCCCTGCCAAACAGAGATCTGGACGTGGGGGGATCATGACTGGAGCCAAAGGCAGATGCCCAACCAAGCCACCCAAGCACCCCTTGATTCAGTTTTCTTAATCAGTCAGAAACACAATGTTAGTCATCCTTGGCCTAAACTAACATTAGTAATATGTACTGAGTACTCAGTACTGAATAGTGAGCCAAGAACTGTGCTAAATGTTTTAACTGCATTATGTCAATTGTCATAACCAGAGTAGGGCCTATCACCCTCCCTCAATCTACTAATGAGGGAACAGGTTCAGGGAAATGAAAGAACTTGCCAACTTCTAAGTAACAGCATTAAAATGGTAAACTTTGGGTTTGTCTTGTTTCCAAATTCATAATTCAATACAGGCATACCCTGTTTTGCTGCACTTTGCTTTATTGTACTTTGCAAATACTGTTTTTCCAAATTGGCAACCCGCATCCAGCAAGTCTGCCAATGCCATTTTACCAACAGCATTTGCTCACTTCATGTCTCATGTATTGCATTTTGCTAATTCTTGCAGTATTTTAAACTTTTTCATAATTGTTGTATTTCTTGCACAGATCTATGACCCGTGATCTTTGATGTTATTATGGTAATTGTCTTGGGGTGCCACAAAATATGCCTGTATAACGTGGAGAACTTAATCAGTAAACACGGAGCATGTTCTGACTGCTCCACTGCTCTTCTGACAGCCATTCCCCCGTCTCTCCTCAGACCTCCCCATTCCATGAAACAAGACAAAGTTGACATTAGGCCAGTTACTAACCCTACAGTGGCCTGTAAATGCTGAAGTAAAAGGAAGAGTTGTACATCTCCTCACTTTAAATCAAAAGCTACGGGGATCCCTGAGTGGCTCAGCGGTTTAGGGCCTGCTTTCGGCCCAGGGTGTGATCCTGGAGTCCCGGGACTGAGTCCCACATCAGGCTCCCTGCATGGAGCCTGCTTCTTTCTCCCTCTGCCTGTATCTCTGCCTCTCTCTCTGTGTCTGTCATGAATAAATAAATAAAATCTTTAAATCCATCAATCAATCAAAAGCTAGAAATGATTCAGCTTAGTGAGGAAAGCACATCAAGAGCTGAAAGAGGCCAAAAGCTAGGCCTCTTGCGCCAACCGTTAACCAAGTGGTGGATGCGAAAGAAGAGATCTTGAAGGGCGTGACAAGTGCTACTCCAGGGAACACACAAATGATAAGGAAAGAAAACAGCCTAATTGCTGATCTGGAGAAAGTGTGAGTGATCTGGAGGGAAGCTCAAACCTGGTGCAACACTACCCTAATCCAAAGCCTAACCCAGAGCAAGGCCCTAACTCCCTTCAGTTCTGTGGAGGCTGAAAGAGGTGAGGAGGCTGCAGAAGAAACATTTGAAGCTAGCAGAGGTTGGCTCATGAGGTTTAAGGAAAGAAACCATCTCCATAACACAGAAGTGCAAGGCGAAGCAGCAGGTGCTCATGGAGTAGCTGCAGCAAGTTCCGCAGAAGATCCAGTTAAGATCATTCATGAAGGTGGCCACACTAAACAACTAATCAGATTTCCAGTGTAGATGTAAAAGAGTCCACTACCAGAGGAAGATACCACATAGAACTTTGGTAGCTAGAGAGGAGAAGTCAATGCCTGGCTTCAGAGCTCCAAAGGACAGGCTGACTCTCTTGTGAGCGGCTTATGCGGCTGGTATCTCTGAGTGGAAGCCAGTGGCTCACTTACCATTCTGAAAGTCCCAGGGCCCTAAAGCAGTATGCTAACTCTACTCTGCCCGTGCTCTGTAAATGGAACAACAAAGCCCGGATGTCAGCACTTTTATTTACAACAAGACTGCCTGAATATTTCAAGCCAGCTGTTGAGACCTGCTGGTCAGAAAAAAAAAAAAAGAGAGAGAGAGAGAGATTCCTTTTGGAATCTCGCTGCTCACTGGCAGAGCACCTGGTCCCCCACAAGCTCTGATGGAGTGGAGATGTATGAGATTCACGTTGTTTCCACGCCTGCTAACACAGCATCCTTTCTGCAGCCCATGGACCAAGGAGTCATTTCAATTCTCAAGTCTTACTATTTAAGAAATACATTTGAAGGGCTAGAGCTGTTGGGAGATTGAGCGTCCTCTGGTGGGTCTGGGCAAAGTAAATTGGAAACTTTCTGGAAAGGGTTCACCATTCTAGAGAACATCGAGAACATTCCTGATTCACGGGAGGGGTCAAAACAGCAACATTAACGGGAGTGTGGAAGAGGTTGATTCCAACCTTCATGGAGGACTTGGAGGGGTTCAAGACTTCAGTGGAGGAAGTAGCTGCAGATGGGGTACAAACAGCGAGAGAACTGGAATTAGAAGTGGAGCCTGAAGATGGAACTGAATTGCTAGAAACTCATCATAAAACTTGAACCGATGAGAAGAGTTGCTTCTCGTGGCTCAGCAAAGAAGGTGGTGTCTGGAGATAGAGTCTACTTCTGGTGAGGATGCTGTGAAGACTGCTGACACGACAACAAAGCATTCAGAACGTTCCATACACTCTGTCAATAAAGCAGCAGCAAAGGTTT